CCGAAGAAAAGATTTGGAATTTGAAGTTGGGGATCGTGTTTTCCTTAAGACTACACCATTGCGGAGTGTTACTGCTGGTAGAGGAAAGAAACTCCAACCCAGATTTGTAGGACCTTTCACAATTCTCCAACGGGTTGGAAAAGTAGCATACCAACTCGAGTTGCCGCCAAGCTTGTCCCGGATTCACGATATTTTTCACATGTCAATGCTCAAAAAGTACTACCCTGACCTGACTCATATTGTGCAACCAGAGGAGATTGAAATTGATGAAGCCCTTACCTATGAGGAGAGACCTGTGCATGTACTAGATAGAAAGGTTAAGGAGTTGAGAAATAAACAAATTCCCTTAGTGAAAATTCTGTGGAAGAACCACGGAGTCGAAGAGGTGACTTGGGAAATGGAGGGAGAGATGAAAAAGAAATACCCTGAGCTGTTTGATGATTCAGGTGAGAAATTTTGAGGACGAAATTCTTTAAGGGGGAGAGAGTGTGAGATCCAGAAATTTTCTTATTTTCTAGGCATTTATTTTAGAATTTTGTGCACCATTTTCATGTTTTCTTTATTATATGAATTTTTTGGGGATTTTCATGAGAAAATATGATTTTTAGTCATTTTTTTTAAAATAAGTCATTTTCTGTGTTAATGGTGGTGTACCGTTGATGTGGGACCCACTAATGCGTTAAGTGTGGTAAATGTGAGGAATGTGGAGAAGTTTTATCTACGGGGATTATATTACATGGTATTATGAGCTAATTAGAGATTAGCTAGTTTAAATAAGTATTGGAAGACAAAGGAATGAGATAAACTTGAGAAAGCCACATGTTGCATTCCTATTGGAGGTGGGACTTTTGACTAGTCTTTCCTCACTTTTACTAAATCAATTTTTGACCCAAAATCATCTCCATTTCCTTCCTTTTGGCTGTGCACTTGGAGACAAAGAAGAGAGAAAAGTTTCTTCAATTTTCCTTCCTTTCTTGCTTAATCTTGTAAACCAACCATTAAAATTCCTAATTTCTCCACACAAGTGAGTTGTTAAGTGAGGCTAAGGTGATTGGTGGAGCCATTTGTGAAGAACAAGCCCTAGCTACCTTGCTTCTTGTAGTTGAGAAGGTGAGTGGTCAAGAATTTTCTCTTTGTGAGTTATAATGTTAAATTAGCAGGTGTTAGTAGTTGAAGATGCTATTTTATGGAGTATTTCATGGTTTATGGTTGAGTTTGTCCAATTTTCATATTTATTGGTGAATTTTCTGTTTTATATGATATATTATGGTTGGCAATGGAATGATAGCCTTATATTGAGTAATTTGGAGCCTCTATATGTTAAATGTGGGTTATAGTGGAAAATTCCAGCTTTTAAGGGAAATTTTGGTTTTTGGGTTTATATAGTTGGGGCTTTTCTAAGGTTGGTTCAAGAGCTTGTAACTAGTTGAGATTTAAGGGTTTTGTGACCCTAAGGAGGTGGATTGAATAGCCTATAAATTGTATTTGCACTTGTGATAGTTTGGGTGTTGAATGATAGGTTGGAAATGAGAAATGTTAAGGGAAATACTGCCCAAATGGTAAGAATTTTGAGTAATCTTGAGTTGAGAGTGGGGGGAAGTTGAAATGGAAGGTTTTGGGGTCATTCGTGCTCCACACCATTGTCACCCTATTTCACTTTTGGTATATTATATTAGTGGCTCATTTGTAATGATTTGACACGTGTTTGAATCTCAATTATGACTTTTTTGCTTGTTGTAGGTCGTGCCGGTGATCCGGGGTTTACGTCTGAAGCGAACTTGTGAATTTACTTATTTACTTCGGTGAGTGTACCATTATATGGTCTAATACTTAAATGACTGTTTATACTTGCTACGTGAACTTGAATGGCTTGAATGAGACGAGAGTGTACTTTATCGCTCTCGATTTCTTATAAGTACTACTGTTACCGTTTAACTGTGTAATCGTAACTGTATATGTTTTAATATTGTTTGGGCTATGCCCGTTAACTTAACTGTGATATTTGAGCTCATACATCTTTGGTCGTTATTCGAGTTGAGCCGGCAAGGGATTGGGCGAATCGATAACGGACCTTGGGTTCACTGTTGGTCGAGTGGAGTGTTAACTCCTCGACATTTTGGTATACTCGAGTATTACCCTCTTTGTTACTGTAAGGTGTTCGGGCTCGGTAAGGGGGTGACCGGTGGAGGGGATATGGAGTAAAGTGGAAATCTACGATTTGTTCTTCTCTTCTAAGGTTAACGGAGTGTCAACGGGTCTAAAATCAAGTACGGCAAGTGGAAAGGGACTCTTGAGAGCCAATTGTATCCTTTTATATTGATTTGTTTCCTTATGAGCTTTGGATAACTATGTGAGAATATGTGTTTACTTGTGGGTCTTGTTGGTACCTCACGAGCGTAAGCTCACCCTCGTTATTTTGTTTTCCTTACAAGAATCATTTTGGAATTGTGATTGAGAACGAGTTGAGCTAGTTAGGCATTTTGTTCTTTTGTATAGCTCCTCGATTTTGGAGAAACCCTAGATGTAACCTATCAAACATTCTCTTCTGATTTGTACTTGTAACTCTTTACCTTTGAGAATGTGTTATGTTATGTTATATAATGTATATATTACATGGTATGTTCTTTCAATAGTGGTGATCATAGGTTCCTTGTGTTTTGGTCGGAATTTTGAACAAATATGGAATTTGCGAAAAATAGGAAACCCTTGATGTGGATACTGTTCATCAAATCCGGCCAAGAATCCGGCCAACTTTGGGCCGCATACCTGGCCGGATATGCAGGGGAGGAAGAAAAAAATTTCGGGCTTAGCCTCTGGCCTGAATCCAGCCGGATTACCGGTCGGATTGGCAGGGGTTTGAAATCCCTTTTGGTTTTGGCCACTGCCCTCTATCCGGCCTAGAATCCGGCCGGATTGCAGCCGGACAGTGACGTGGCAGATACTATTCATCCACGACAAATTTTCGTTTCTTTGTTTTCGGTGACCGGTTAAGCGTTCGAATGCTGTATTATCATTCGGGATCATATTTCTTGTGTGTGTATGACTTGATAAGCTTCGATGGTTTGTTTTATTGGAATTTCTCTTGCAAGTTAGATAGTTCTTGTACGTTTCGTCTCCGTAATCCTGGCGAGAGCTAGGCAGGCGGTCCGTCGAACCCTTTGGTTCGCCTTAGGGGGAGGTAGGGTCGTCACATGTTGTGTACACAAGAATAGAGCTTCGGTGTTCTTTGTAGAGTGAAGAAGGTGATGCGACTGCCAAAAACCAGATCCGAGCTGAGCTGCTGCGAGCTGAACGAGCTGGTCAGGGACGAGCTGATGGGAGGAAAGCCAGCGAACTGAGCTCAGTCCTGGAAAGCGATCCGAGCTGTGCTGCTGCGAGCTGAGAGGGGAAGACCGAGCAGAATGCCCTGCGAAGAAAGAACGACGGCGGGACTAAAGTCCCTGGAATAGCTCCGACGGTCAAGTCAGTAGAGCTCAAGAGTAGAACAACAGTAGAGAGTACTGTAGATGGCGTACCTTGTGTCGTCTTGTGGCGCTGTATATATAGGCTTTCATGGGTCGTAGTTTCCATATAGGAGTCAAAGTCCCCTTAGGGTTCGGAGTCCTTCTAGGGTTTCGTATGACAACCCCTAAAGGTCCGGAGGCGGCGGCCCATCAGGCCCACTTCATGGAGAGGCGGCGGCTACGGCTGAGCTGACCTCCCTCTATTCTGAGCTGCTCTACCCGAGCTGCCATATCACAACAGCCGAGCTGACATGTGGCATCCGTAGATTAGTTGGCCGAGCTGACAGGTCCTCATGTCCGAACTGACACGTGGCTACTGGGAAATTTGCCCCACTACACTAGCCCCCCTTTGAGTCTAGAGTCACTGGGGAGTCACGTGAGTCTAGACCAAGTTTCTTGGCGAAGAGTCAGTTCGGTGTGAGACCCATGATTCCACGATTGCGGCCCTTGCTCGAATAACTTGTAAGACCGAACTGAGTAGGACCAGTTCGTTTTTTCTTTGTGGACTGAATAGACTTTTGTTTCTTCTATACTTAGCAAAATTTTTCATTCATGTCTTTCTTATCATGCTGCCCAAATACACTTGCACGAACAGACCCTGGGCTAGCGCGCGAACTAACTTCCAAATAGTTCATATATTTGCACGAAAAGATAGGACCATGCGCGACCAAACAACTCAGGTCATGTATGGACAGAGTGAGTGAGTTTTAATGAAAGAGCCTCATACTCGGACTCGTTATTGGAGTCCCTGAAGTCGAACCTCGAGGCGCAAGCCAATTCTTTCCCCGTAGGGCTGATTAGGAGGGCTCCGACTCCACATCCTTGCTTGATACTCTATCAATATACGATGTCTGGGTTGGGATGGCCTGTCCAGCATCCTCCTTGGTTCCTTCGGCCTGTACAACCTCGCCGACCTGTTTGGCTTCTACAGTTTATCCGACCTGCTCGGCCTCAACTGCGTCTCTGGCCAGCTCGGCCTCGGTGGCTCTCGCGGCCTGCTCGGCCTTGGCTGATCTCACGGCTCGTGTGACCTCGGCAGCTTCTCCGGCCTGTTTGGCCTCAGCTGTCTCTGGTCAGCTCGGCCTTGGCTGATCTCACGGCTCGTGTGACCTCGGCAGCTTCTCCGGCCTGTTTGGCCTCAGCTGTCTCTGGCCAGCTCGGCCTCGACTGCTCTTGCGGCCTGTATGACCTCGGCAGCCTCTCCGACCTGCTCGACCTCAGCTGCATATCTGGCCAGCTCGGCCTCGGCTGATCTCTCGGCTTGTGTGACCTCGGCAGCCTCTCCGGTCTGTTTGGCCTCAGCTGTGTCTCTGGTCAGCTCGGCCTCGACTGCTCTTGCGGCCTGTATGACCTCGGCAGCCTTTCCGACCAGCTCGGTCTCATCTGCGTCTCCGGCCAGCTCGGCCTCGGCTGAACTCTCGGCTCGTGTGACCTCGGCAGTTTCTCCGGCCTGTTTGGCCTCAACTGTGTCTCTGGTCAGCTCGGCCTCAGCGGCTCTCACGGCCTGCTTGACCTAGGCAGTTTCTCCTGTTCACCCTTCAAGCGATTCGCTTCCACTGCATTAGCCCTTTCGTGAGCTCGGTCCAACATCTCCCGAACTGATTTGGGAGGTCTCTCTACGAACTCGGTATATAGTCTCTGTTTGCGCAGCCCGTTGATGAAGGCAGCCATGACCACCTTGTCGTCTCGGTCGCGGACCTGGAGGGATTCATTATTGAATCGCACCATGTACTCGCGTAGTGACTCCTCAGCCCTTTGCTGGATAGTCATGAGGTGAGCGGTGCTTTTAGAGAAGGCCCGTGAAGAGACGAACTGTGCTGAGAACAGTCGTGCAAGCTGGGTGAAAGACCTGATCGACCTGGGGGGAAGTCCCTGGAACCACTGCCGGGCCCTTCCTTCTAGGAACATCGGGAAGGTCTTGCACCTGACCGCATCCGCGGCCTTTTGTAAATGCATCTGCGTCATGAATACGAACAGGTGGTCTTCCGGATCCGTGGTTGCGTCGTAAGATTTCATGTTTGGAATTTTGAACTTCGCGGGCAGTTGGTATTCCTAGATATCGAGCACAAAGGGGGAAGCAATGTACCTGTCCGCCTCCGGGTCCAGCAGTAGGTCCAGTTCGTCCTGTACCTGTTGTCGTTCCTTCAGGGGGGAGAGCCTCCGGACGGGCTCCGGGTGTTCAGTTCGGGAGTTCTTGTGAGAGGGCTCTACGACCTCGACCTGCTCACGCGTGAGTTCCCGATGTGCCAGCTTGGCCCCGTGCTTGGGACTCCCAGTTCGGGACTCTGACAGGTCTGCTCCCTGGACCTTAGGCTCCTTGTCCGGTTGACCTCCAAACTGCCCCTTGAGGTAGTTCATGATCGCCTCAAAGGTGGGCAGGTCTTCTGCCACCATCTGAACCAGCTGTTCGGGCGGGATTCGTGAGGGCCCTGCCCCTCCTTCTCCAGGTGTTGGATCCCGAGGGGAGTTTTGGGGGCCGCTTCGCTCCGTCCCCTTGGATCCGCCAGCGTTTCTCTTTGACCTAGTTTTCGGCATGATTCGCGAAGAAGAGTAACGTGTTTCCCACAGACGGCGCCAATTGATACGACTGCCAAAAACCAGATCCGAGCTGAGCTGCTGCGAGCTGAACGAGCTGGTCAGGGACTAGCTGATGGGAGGAAAGCCAGCGAACTGAGCTCAGTCCTGGAAAGCGATCCGAGCTGTGCTGCTGCGAGCTGAGAGGGGAAGACCGAGCAGAATGCCCTGCGAAGAAAGAACGACGGCGGGACTAGAGTCCCTGGAATAGCTCCGACCGTCAAGTCAGTAGAGCTCAAGAGTAGAACAACAGTAGAGAGTACTGTAGATGGCGTACCTTGTGTCGTCTTGTGGCGCTGTATATATAGGCTTTCATGGGTCGTAGTTTCCATATAGGAGTCAAAGTCCCCTTAGGGTTCGGAGTCCTTCTAGGGTTTCGTATGACAACCCCTAAAGGTCCGGAGGCGGCGGCCCATCAGGCCCACTTCATGGAGAGGCGGCGGCTACGGCTGAGCTGACCTCCCTCTATTCCGAGCTGCTCTACCCGAGCTGCCATATCACAACAGCCGAGCTGACATGTGGCATCCGTAGATTAGTTGGCCGAGCTGACAGGTCCTCATGTCCGAACTGACACGTGGCTACTGGGAAATTTGCCCCACTACACGCATTAGGTCTTTTGGAAGCAGAGGACTGGTACTCAAAGTGCCCATATCTTCTAGTTCCAGGCAACAGCTAGTGCCGTATGGGAGAGAAATAGAGAAAGTCGGAGTCTTGAACTCTTGAGCTTGGACTCCCTTCTCAAAATTAAATCTCCAATATTTCAGGACACCCTCCCAAACAATATATCAAATATCTCATGTACATCAGATTAGTTATAAGTGGCAAGAATCTTTTTTAGGGAATTTTGGGGCAGTTTGGTTTGCTTTGCTTCGATTCTTCACCTTTTGCAGCTTGAAAGCATTGAATATCAACTTTTCTTTGAAGCAAGCAGGCAAGCGTATCTTTCATTTGCTTAGGCGGGAGCGGAATTTAGGGGACGTCTCCTCCGGCTGCAGCAACCGGCAGTCCTCTGGTTGAACGGCGAGTTCTGGTGGAAGGGGTGAAGTAGTTTTGGATTCATCTTCTTGGACTATCACGGTGGCCTTCCGACGGGTGGTGGCGGTTCCTCTGGCGGTGGTGCGAGGAACACTAAGGGATGCGACTTGGGGTTTGGCCGGTGACTCGGTGGAAGATGCTGAAGGTCCAGCAACTCCTTTATTGTTCTGAAATTAGCCATATTGGACTTTTAGGGCCAGTAAGCTCACTGGACAAAATTGCCCCCGAACATTGCAACGTGTAATGCTAATTTGAGAACTTAAGAGCAATTAACGATGAAATGGTCACGGGTTAACAGATTAAATTGTTTAGTGGCCAATTATTAACAAAAAATAGTTCGATGGCCAAAACATGATCTCGCCAATAGTTTAATGGCCATTGAGGTTTTTTGCCCACCTTTTTATGTTCATTTCAGTTCACGGCAAAATAAATACAGATAAGTATTTGGTGTTTACGTCTTTATCTCAAGTTCTTTTGAAACTCAGACAAAGAGGGGCAAGCTGTAGATACCAAAATTTTAATTTTTATTTAATTCAATTTTAGTTCTATTTTTTATTCTTGTTTTATTTCATTTTATTTTTTATTTTATTTTAATTGATTAAATGATAGTTAATGTTTATTTTTGCTTACTTTTATAAATTAGGTTCATCATTTTTATTTTAAGATATTTTTGCATTAAATTTCTAAAAAAGAAAATTCTCACAAAAATTCAAAAAAATTTGCTTTTAATCTTCTTAGATTCAATTTCCTTAAAATAAATGAAAATTTTGCAATTCAATTGCCTTTAGGAATTAACATTCTTGTTTACCTAAATTGATTTTAAAAAATAAAAATATAAAAAATAAATAAAAATAAGAAGATAGGTGGGGGCTTGCATGTTGAACAAGTGTGTTAAAGAGTATTAGACAAGTATTAGTGCATGCAAATAGGACAAATGTCCTCATTTTATTGACACCATATGCAAGGAGGAGGTAGATGGCAAGACACTTGAAAGTCTAGGAAAATTTGGAAACAGAAAGCAAAGGAGAGATGACGGGCAAGAAACTAGAAAAAAGGGAAGAAAGTAAAAAAGGGAGCTCTCGGCTGAGGAAAAAAAAGGAACCAAAACAAGAATAGGAAAATTGGAAAGAAATAACAGAAACAAAACAAAAGGAAGGGAGGGGGCGAGAAAGTCTTTGGCGGAGGGAGCAAAAAAAAAAGAACCCGAGAGAGGGTTTTGGAAAAAAAAGGGAACCGAGGGAAGGAAAAAGGGAGAGGGTTTCGGAGGGGAAGAGATAGAGAGGAACCAAGAGTGAGAGATAAAGGGAGGGTGGCTGAGCAAGCAAGGGAGAGGAAAACAAGAACAAGGGAGGATCTGGGGAGATCAAACAAAAGAAAAAAACAGAAAGAGAGAGAAACGGAAAAAGGAAAACCAGAAAAGAAGAAAAAAAGAGGGTTCCGTGAGAGAAAAAGGAAGCGAAAAAGAGGGAAAAAGAAAGAGAAAAGGGAAGAAATCAGAAAGGGGAAAGCTTGGGGGAGAATCTGGGGACGAAGGAGGAAGATCAGTAGATAGAACAGAGCAAAAACAAAGAGAAAACGTGTGAAGAAATTTTTCCACAAAATTCACTATTCAGGCAGATTTTTCGCCATTTTGGGAGGCGATATTCACCATTAAATCGGCTACTTCTTCGAGATTTTAGCCAATCTGGAACATCTACTGAGGCAGATCTTGGACTTTTGTTCAAGGATTTTTACAAAATAACGTCGGGAAGATGCTCAAATCATTGCTCAAATAGCCTGCTCGCCAAGGCTGCAATCTCTGCGACGAAATCTCTCGAACGCGTTTCTTGGAATCGGCACACATTTCTGGGCAGATCTCAGGCTCATTCAACTGTGCTAATATCCTCAGGTAACAAATGACTCTTGTTTTGTGGGTTTAAAGATGTTTTTATGAAAGATAAGGCCACGGATGTGAATCTTTTGAATGTTTGCTCCTGTTTTGAGTTTTTTGCTGGTTTTGTGTGTTGGCCATGTTGTTTGGTTGATAAGATCTGATTCAATAAGAGTTCATGGGATGAGTCTTATTAAGAAAATGGGTTTAGGGTTTCCTATGGGGTTATCTGATGAATCCATGAGTCTTTACTTGATGTTTATGGCTGGTCTTCATGTGTTTAAACACGCAACCCAGAAAAATGGCTTAAAACTTCGGGCAAGTCTGTTCTGATGCTTCCTTGATCGCAGCTCCTCCTTTTCTTGTTGTTTGTGTAATTTTGATGTTGGGTTATAGTGTTAAATGGAGTCAGTTGCAAGTTTTTTTGCTTGGAGATTGATTCGCATGATTTACACATTTGATAAGAAAGCCTAGAAACCTGTGAATGAGCTCGGAACTTGCCAGCTTTTCCCATCTTAGATTTCCTTTGTTTGCATGTTTAATCTTGTGTTTGATGAGGGTTTATGGAATCTGATGAATGTTGGGTTCGAAGCTTTGTTTCAAATTTTTGCAAGCTGCCTGGGTTACTAAATGGCTTGATGTTGCAGAAACAAGAACTGGAAAGCTTCGCAGGCTGCATGAAACAATTTCCATAAATTGCACTTTGACCCCAGATTTTTTGACTAATGCTATTATAGCCCAGAAAATTGGAAAATTTAATCAATTTTGTCCTTTTAATATGTTATTATTCTTTGGTATGTTCAAATGTGATTTTTGGACAGATTATATGTGAAATTTAGGATGAAATTTGGATGTTTAATAATTTTTGATAAGTTTCTTGTTTTGATTTGGATTTTTAGTGAAATTTTGAGTAATTTTGTTATTTAATTATAACAAATGGATTTTCATTTATTTTTTGTGGATTTTAACATTTAATCTTGATAGGCTTCATCTTCGGCCTTAATTTTATTATTTTCATTTAGACCCTTAATATTTGTAAAAATAGTGATTTGACCCCTAAAACTTCTTTAATTCTTTCAATTGGGTCCTTGTTTGTCTTAATTTGTTAAATATGAGTAGTTTACTTTCCTTGGAATGATTTGATTGATTTAATTTCGTGTTTATTTTCTTTTCTTGTGATTATATGTTAATTAAAGTAATCCTTTGACCCTTTTCTTTGTGTTGGAGGGTAAATAAGAAAAATTTCATTTCTTTAAGTCACCAATTCAAGGGAGGTACACTCTACTCCTTTATTTTGATTTTACTTGATCCTATGTGCTACTATGTGATTTTATGTGTGTAATTGCATACTTGTTTGATTTTTTTTATTATTTCATTTATTTCTTTATTCACTTTATTTATTTTAATTTTGTATATTTATTTTAATTCAATTTTGGTTATTTGGGAGGCATTTAAATGCCAAGATGTAATAGTTAGGTATTTATTT